CGCCATTTCCACCTCATTAGTTGATATCCCAATCCTCGGGTAAATAGCAGGCACCGACTCAGCATGGGCGCGACAATAGACGCGTAGCACTGCATGGATCACATTACAGTTCTCAGCATTCCAGTGGCCCTTTTTTATATATTTTTTTAATAAACTGCACATGTCATTGCATTGGAGGCAGTAAAATTGCCTCGCTGTACACAAGTACACCACAAACGCGTCAATGCAATCACTTTCGGTAGTCAGAATGTGGCTCAAAATCATTCTCGTTTTGCTAACATCCTCCATTATCCACGAAGGCTTTGCACGGGAAATTGATAAGTTGTTGTCCTTCCAACGGTTAGTATCCATCAGATGCTAGCTTTCGCTTAATTGGTGAATCTAAAAGAAGTTTCACTTACTTGAGCACCTTCACGGAGCCACTAGTTTGCTCTCGCGACTTGACACCTTCCTCTCGTACGTCATCACATTACACCACCTCGACCTCTTCTCTTCGTCCTGTCTGCATTAAAGTTGTAGAACTTCGATATAGAGAGAATACATTATCCTGAACGCTTCACCATTTCTGTTGCTGGTGTGGAAAAGCTTACTTCTGATGCACTGATCGACGAAGGCAGGCTTTGGTCCATCGTAGTGGTGCCCAAATCTGAGGTGAACGAAGGCGGATCCGAGGATATTGAGATCCAATTGAAGATGGGTAGTCTTGATTTGGAAAATCCGCAGCAGTCTGTGACAAATCTAACTGCTCGAATTACATTGTTTAAATCAAGTCGACTTGATCCGTTTGACACATATGCAGACCATCTGACGGTCACATCGTCGATGCCGAGTCGATGGAATTTGAAGACTTACATCCGGGTTGACCTCTCCACTACATTTAGTCCACCTACATGCAGTAACTGCTCTCCTCTCATTCGTCTTTTGCTCTATTAGCCGACGATCTGTGTAGATGTCAGCGCTCCTCGGGAAGTGCAAATTGGGGCAAACGACCTTCACACGATGTGCGTGTCATGGGAACCACCATTGCAATCCCAAAATTCCATGAACTGCTACTCCACTTTTTGGCGTGCCAATGGTCAACCACAGACACCAATCCATCAATTTTCACATACCGTCTACGACTCAATCAATTTAAAGCATGGAGATAAAATTGGAGTCCTCATCCTTGCACACAGTCTTATTGTATCTCTCAATCGCTTTGTTTGCATTGATTCTCAAAGCACACTTCTGTCATTAGCTACATCGCATCTAGAAGGCAAGTCTATTCCGCCTTCCTTCTGTGGAAGATAGCTCACCACACTACCAGTGAAATGTTGCAAGACGCTTCATGCCTTTTGCTGGCCAAAACAAAAAAAATTGCCTACAGACATCCACTTGTGACGTAATGCGTGGGTGACGAGGGAACT